TACGAAAAGCGGAGAGTGAAGCATTTTCAATTTCCTCGTTTTGAGAAACAAACGATCATGTGAATACGCGCCAGATTTAGAAGGCATCAAGAAAACTCGGTGTCTTTTGTGATTTGACTGCATACACTACTGGATTCAAATTGTTGGTTCCCTCTCGGATTAAACTCGTGCTCGTGAGTTCTTTCTTGTAGACGGGCCTTTTAGGTGGTGTCCTTATTTGTGCCGGCATAACTTATGGAAAATATCATAGGTTGTGATTTTTGTTTTGTGTTTGATTCTGGTGGCCGATCGATCTCAATTCATACGATATACAATGTGCCGTTCTTATGATATTATTATTACCCTATTGTTTACCTGAGTTTTCTCACCGTTGGATCACACACTCACACATGTTCCCAAGATTAGTGAGGTAAAATCAATAGAACAAAAATACTATGTATGAAAAATAAAAAGGCATTACCCTATTTCTTTTTTAAAAGAAAAAAAGGAAAAAAAATATAATTGTGTTGAGAAAAATTAAGCATTACATGGTTATTAAAAGCTTGAGCTCGATTTGTCTGTTTATTTTTATCAATGATGCTCGAACAACTAATCAAATCGGTTTACTAAACGAGGTAGGTTGAGATTTGCGTATGTATTGTATGCGAACAATTTGTTTATTTTTCTTTTAAGTTTCAAATAAATAATCAAGTAAACGAGCGTGTTTAAAAACACACAAACCGTGTTCATGATGCATGCATAGCTCATTTACGAATTTGAATTTGTTAAATAAAATGACCTAAATTTTCACGAGTTTAACCGAGCTAAGCCCGATTCAAGCCCTTTGACTTGATTTAAACGAGAAGAGTTTCAAATATTTAAACGAAAAGCACAAGTTCGAATAATACCCTTTTCAAGCCTGTCGCCTGGCTTATACACTCTGAGGAGAAGAAGAAATTGGAAAGANCAGAAATGGGGTCTTCATTTCAAGGTGCGAACATGACAGCAAAGGGGGTTTACAGAAGCCTTCTGAAAGCGGTGAGGAAACATGTCGGAAAAGACGAACACAAAGCTCATTTCACAGATTTCGTCAAGCAGGAATTTAGAAGGAATATTGACTCTGAAAACCCGCCTAATCTCAAGCTCGCTCATGATTACACTTTCTATCTTAACAGCGTTCACCATCACAAGGTGCTTCTTTCGTTTTCAGAGTTTATCTTATTACCTTTTATTTTGTGTACTCAACGTGTTTGATGTTTTGTCTCTGTTAATATCTTCATATGCATTTTGGTTTCTTGGTTCTTTGCTTGCATGTCCAAAATGAAAAATGAATGGAAAATATTCAAAATGATGACATTTTTACTAAAATGCAAAGCACCCTTTAGTTATTTGTTATAATTGTGATAATGTACTGTCATTTGTCACTTTATGTCAAAGTTAGATGCAGAGTTCTTGTTGAAAGGTAGTCCTTAGTATTTGTTAGTTCATTTTGTTTCATGTAATCATTGCCTGAAGAAATTATGGAAAAAGGGATCAGATTTTAGGTACCAGTAATGTTGGCTTTGATATCAAGAACCCTCACCAATCAATGATAAATCCCTTTTGCTTTTTTAGCTAAAACTTTCTATCTAATCAGGCTATGAAATAAATAAGATCCCCTAGTTTATACTGTGGCTTAATCAATAAGTTATTAAATCATACTGATGATAGCAAAGTGTTCATCTTGGCTTAAATGACGCCAGTTAACAATTTGTTAAGCTGATGATCTGACTTTTATTGACAAGTATACAATTTGATGTGTTAGGTGTTTGGATTTGTAATGTCCCACTTTGTTATTTGCATACTCAGAGAACTTGTTAAAAGCAGTAGAATCTTATTTATACATAGCTACTACTGTATAATGTTGAAAAATGAAACAAAAATAAAAAAATAAAAAATCAATGTCGACATTCATCTCATCACTATTACACATTTACACTTTAGACCTCAAAATTCTCGAACTGTTTGTTTTTCTAACCAGATAAACACAGTTCTTTTTAAAGAAGATACTGAGCTTTATTATTATTATTTTTTTTGGTAAATGTCAAGGCTAGTTCTTTATTCTCTCCCATTTTAACTAAGTATTGTTCGTATACAACATTACAACTTACTAAATTTTACATGACATGTATATACAGGAGCTGCTTTTCTCTTACAATATTGCGGTGGATAGGTCTGACGAAATGAAAAAAGTGCTCGGAAAATCTGCCGCTAGTGTGGGCCTCCAGCTTCCTGATGTCTATCAGCCCTGATAAGAGGTTCATATGGAAAATTCGGTCTGATCAGATCAACTATGTGCTTATGTTTCAATTCACACTCATTTTCTGTATCCAAAGTTGGATTATCTTATCTTTCAATTCGTCAAACATGCTCTTGAATGTTGTTGAGAAAAGAATACCATTGCTTGAGTTTAGCTTAAAAGTTGGAATCTCTCCATGGACAGCATCAATAGATAGGGGAATAGTTGGAAAACCATTGTCTTTTCCTCTTTCATTAGCATACATCTGTGTCTTATTAAGGGTTGTTTGCAATTGAAAACACTATAGAAATTGGGAACATGTCTGTTTTTGTTTTTGTTTTCATATCGTTTATCAATGCTGGTTTCCAATTCAACAATTGAAATGTACAATTGTGTCCCGAAATTTTAAATTTTGTTAACTGATTTTTGCTGGAGTGTTTCTTTTCACTGAACAAGATCTGTTTCATGTATACTACACGAGATCTGGAAACGAGTTAGGCCAGGTACGGCCTGCCTAAAATAGAAATTATATTTGACAAATGATAGAAAGTAGAACAAAAACAAGAGTCCGGATTATATTAAGATTTATTAAGACTTTAAGATTTGCTGGGATTTCAAAAGTACATGAAATCTCACTCAAAATCCTATCTCCAAACTTTCAAAAGTCTCAAAATGTCACTCGAAATCCCAAACGAATATATAGACGAGATATAGAAGAGACTGGCTCTTTACATGGCATGAAGTGAGCGAAACAAACGAACACCAATCTAAACAAATGAACATGAACAGGAAATCTTATTATAATCTCCCGGTCTTGTCTTAAAAGGCCTGAAAGTTCCATATCCAAGAGAATTTGTCACTCATCGAATGAGAAAACAACATTACTTTTCTTCACGAAATCATGCGTAGTGTGATCCACCACCTGCTCGTTGGAAAACTTAACATCATAATTCATAAACAAATATATTCAACGAGTCGGATATCACCATTTGCAAACCTTTCAGATCTCCAATGGATAAAAACATTTTACACCGATGGATAAGAACATTTAACAGATAATCTCAAGGTATAATACAAAAGCTACCCCTAGGTTTCTAAAATTACAGAAACTATCTTTGAGGTATAATTCTACGTACGTAATATGCCAGCCATGGCCTTAAGCAATTCGCAAACATTTTCAAACATTTCACACAAAATTGCCATAAATATGACGACTTTTTTCGAAATTGCAATTTAATCTTTTTACTTTTGCAAATTATATCACAATATTCAGTTTGATGCAAATCGGTGCACCGATTCGCAGAACTCGTACAAACTATATCACAATCTTCACGGTAACCACATCAGAGAGTTGGTTTTCAGAATCACAACACAAGTGAAAATATTGTGATTAAATTGCAATTTCGAAAAAGATTGTGATATTAGGTGCAACTTTTCAAATATTTAAAACCACACCCTTAAAGCTTTTCAAAATGTAATAATGGCCCGGATTGTGTAATTTCGGACAAACTTCAAGTGAAGTTTTTGTAATTACTCCAAACAAAGAAGCCGGCTACTTTTCCTCTCTCACTACATCAAACTTTAAAACTGCACCAAGCAAGCAACTCACAAAGAAGAACAACAATAAGCCAGAAAATAAGAGGTCACTTACATTTGTATTACTCAGCTCCAAATTATAAAAATCCATCTCTTTCTCAACAAACAAGGGCCCTGCATGCCATGTACCCCGATTCAGCTTCACAAACTTGGGACCCGAAATCTTGAACACACGAACCCCATCAACTTCTGGTGGGGCATAAAAATGGCCACAGTGGGATTGCTCGAGATTTGCTTTGAGAGTTCCTTTAACTTCAGTTGGTTCTGCAATTGATGGTTTTGCTACCCCAAGATACCAAATTTTGCCGCCTATAGAACCTAAGCATTGGGTTACATTTGCGTGGTGAGTAATAGTCTTGAACCTGAGAGACCTGTCCTTTAGATGCATGATGTAAAACCTGATGTAGTAATGCAATCTAAGTTAGCAATTCCCATTTTTGCTCGAACGAGATATTTGCCTTTTGTAAGATAAAAACTAATATAGATGGAAAATGTACCTGTAATACACATCAAGATTCGATTTTCTACCAAGTTTAGCTAGAAATGCTTAAAGATTAGCATTACCTTTAGCTGCCAATGATAAAAATATGATTATCTACCTACTATATGAACTGGCCATTGCAAAAAAGGTATCACCTTTAGCTCTCTCATCAGTGTTCGGTTTTATGCTTTAACCTATTTGAATCCCCAGCCAAGTGACAATTTATTTATTTATTTTCAGTGTAAAATTTAGGTGGAAAATATATATTTAGTATATACCCACAAGATATACAACTTCATATTTCTAGGTATACATCATGTAATCTAAACCTTAAAGCCTGATTCATACCTAGCTTGCATTGCCGGTTTTCACTTCCAATCACGAAATCAAGATAACAAATCAAACATATTTATCAGTTTTATTTTTTATTTATTTATTTTTTTTTTCAAGCGAATTCTGTTTGCTAAACTCATATTCTATGGATAGAAACTGGAAATTGGACATTGAATTACATCCACACAGGACTAAGCTCTCCAATAAGTGTGTGTGTGTGTGTGAGAGAGAGAGAGAGAGAGACCTGGGAATTCCGCCGGAAAGGTCGAGCTGCGCGTCCTGGGGCCCAAACTCATCGCCGTCCGGCGAGGCCTCCACCACCTGTCCAAATTCTCGGAAGCTATCCGGGGTTGCCTCAATCGGCTTCAACCTGACCACCTCCGGCGAAGGATCCGACTTTATCTCGCCGGAAGTTCCCGTGGCCATCTGGGAACGAGATGCGGATGACGAGTATACCGGGGACTTGTCGCGCTCGATCGAGCTTTCTTAAGCGAGTGCGTGAAAATGAAGGGGATAAAACTGTGTGCGGGAAGAAAAAGATGAATCTTGGGCTTAAGCTCGGAAGAATTATGGCGTTGGGAGATTGTGAGGCGACGGTGGAGGTGGATTTCAGGTGGTGGACAGCTTTTATCCCCTTCATGAGCCAATCTCTTCATATTTGTAATATAATTGGTTTTATATAGAAAAAACTTAACTATTGTATTTAATTTAGATTTTTAAACTTTTAAAAGTCTAGATTTTAAAAAGTTTTATAAAATTATGAGATATTTAACTTATTCGTTATTCGATGCTAGACTGATATTTGTTATTATTTTTTAAAATTTGAAGACGAAATTACATTCCAAATCTAACCTCTTAGCTTAAGTTCATAGGATTTATTAATTGATGATCTATTAATCTTAAAAAAGTATCAATAATCTCTCAAATTCCAAACAAATCCATCCCTAAATAGTTTACACTGGTTAGAATTGAAAATATACAAATTTGAGCCAACAAAAATTTGCCAAAAGATAATTTTATATAATTTATATAAACAAGCAAAGCTCGAACTCTCACTCGTTAAATTAATGAGTCGAGCGGAGTTTTCAAAAATTATATGGGCGTATAAGAACTGGACTTCCTTATTGGGCCTCAAAACGTTGTCACATAATTGGAATTTTTGGGCTTTTTTAAGCTTTACACCAGAATTATTTTGCATTGCTTTGTTGTTCTAATTGAAACTGTGGTTTATTACTTTGTTTATAAATATTTTTAAGGGTAAAACGAGCTTTTTCTCATATTAAATATTATTATTATCATAGCATAATTGGTTCTTTTTTTTCTTTTTTGAGATTAGTCCACTATTATTAGCAAATATATATAAGAAAAATAAAACAACAAAAATTATAGTACCAAATAAAACAAAATGTCTGCAAAGCCAAAAAATAAAACCCATACTAAATCGTTCAAAAAGCCGAGACAAAATGTCCTCCTCCACCACAACCACCACCCCCGCCGCACACCCCACACCACCACCGCTCCTGCCGCCGTTACTGTGCCCCACGCAGCTCGAATCCACCATAACCTCCATCCTCAGAAGCTCCGCCGCCGCCACCTCCTCCTCTCTGCACGCGGCCGTGTCCCCGTACCTCCCCCACCTATCTCCGCCGGTCGTCCACTCCGTCCTCTCCTCCCCCGCTCTTCGCCGTCGACCCTCCGCCCTCCTCGCCTTCCTCAGCCTGGCGCGCTCCCACTCCGCCGCCGCCAAACCCCTCTCCCTTCTACCACTCCCTCCCCTAATCTCCCTCCTCAACTCACTCATCTCCTTCCACAAATTCAACGACGCCAAAACCCTACTCCATTCCCAAATCATCTCCGAGCACCCCCACCACCACCTCCACCGCCACCTCCTCCACCCCGCTCCGCCTCTCCCGCCGCCGACCAAATCCCTTCTCGACACGTGCATATTCGCCTACTGCCGCGCCGGCTGGCCCCACCTCGCCGTCCAGATCTTCAAAAAGATGAAGCGCCTCAAACTTCCCCCAAATCTCTTAACTCTCAACACCTTACTGAGCTCCCTGGTGAAAAACAACACGTCGTCTCAAACGACCAAACTCTGCAACGAGCTGTTTAAAGACGCCGTCAACCTCGGCTTGACCCCAAGCGTGGTCACCTTCAACATCCTCATCCATAGGTACTGTTTGGAGCACAAATTCAAGGATGCTGTGGATTTATTGAGGAAGATGGAGCTCGATTTCAGGTGCAAACCGGATAACGCGAGCTACAACACGATTCTCGATGCCCTGCGTAAAAAGGGCCGGCTGAACGAAATCCGTGACCTTCTGCTCGACATGAAAGGTAAGGGACTTTTCCCTAACAGGAACACTTACAATATCTTGCTCGATGGGTACTGCCGAGTAGGTTTGCTCTATGATGCAGCTAAAGTCATGGAGCTTATGGCTCGGGACAATGTTTTGCCAGACGTGTGGACTTTTAACACGCTGATAAACGGTCTGTGTGGGGCCGGGAGGCTCGACGAGGCATTCAAGGCAAAGGACAAGATGGAAAGTTTGAAGCTTTCTCCCGATTTGATCACGTATAACACTTTGATCAACGGGTGTTTTGAGGCGAAAAAAAGTTGGGATGCTTTTCAGTTGGCTGATGAGATGAGTGAAAAAGGAGTCAAGCCGAATGCGGTTACTCATAACATCATGATCAAATGGTACTGTAAAGAAGGGAAGATGGAGAAGGCGTGTGAGACGGTTAGGCAGATGGAGGAAAATGGCTTTTCGCCAGATTGTGTAACATACAATACTCTGATTAGCGGCTTTTATAAGATAGGCGATTTCAAGGAGGCTTTTAGGGTGATGAATGAGATGAGCAGGAAAGGATTGAAAATGGATACTGTCACACTCAACACGGCCCTACACAGTCTCTGCCAGGAGAAAAAACTCGAGGATGCGTACGATTTACTCAACGCAGCAATCAAGAGAGGCTACATTGTGGATGAAGTTAGTTACGGCACTCTCATCGTGGGTTTTTTCAAAGAGGAAAAAAATCCCGAGCGCGCGTTACAAGTATGGGACGAAATGAAGTCGAGAGGCGTTGTCCCGAGCATAATCACTTACAATTCTGTGGTCGGTGGTCTCTGCAAGCTCGGAAAAATGGATTCAGCTATAGATAGGCTCAACGAGCTTTTGGAGAACAAGCTACTCCCAGACGAGACCACGTACAACACAATCATACACGGATACTGCTTGGAGGGAAATGTCGAGAAAGCTTTTGAATTTCATAACAAAATGGTCGAGGAGATGTTCAAACCCGACATCTACACGTGCAACATTCTTCTTAAGGGTCTCTGCAAAGAGGGCATGCTCGAAAAAGCCGTTAATCTCTTTGAAACATGGGTTTTAAAAGGAAAAGAGCTCGATACTGTCTCGTACAACACGTTGATAGCTGCACTGTGTAAGGAAGGGAGGCTCGATGAGGCCGTCGATCGAGTTGCTGAGATGGAGGGAAAGAAAATCGGGCCTGATGGATATACGTTTAACGCCATTGCGGGCCCACTTAGGGAGGCCGGGAGAAGTAAGGAAGCTGAAGAGCTTCTGTCGAGAATGTCTGAGGGTAAAAATGAGATTCCGTTTTTGAAGCCAAAAAACGATAGGCAACGAGATGGAGTTGTTGGTGAGTTGGATTGCTCGGAAAAGATTAACGAGCTTTGTGCCGAGGGGAGGTACAAGGATGCAATGCATATCTTTAAGGAGGCGACTCAGAAGGGTGTGGGTGTGAATAAATCAGTTTATATTACATTAATTAATGGGCTGATCAAGAGGAGGAAAACTTCTTCAAGGTCGGTTAGTTGTGGATTCGGTTCGAGTTCGTAATAATATTACTGTTGGTTTTAGCTGATGGGCATGCTTTGTTTCTGAGCTCGGTTATAGCAGGCAACAGTATTATGGGACGGGCTAAAGGTGCGTACTTTTGGCGCTTTTTCATATATTCAGTTGGTCAATTTTATTCTTGTTGCTTATTAATTTTAGTAATGGTTATCGAAGTTTGTCATTGGTACGCTGCTCTTTGCTCATCTCTGTCTAAAACAACGTGAGATGAATTGTGCCGATTAATTGGCTGAGAAATATATAAGTTAGAAGCGTACAGTCTACACAAGATTTAGCAATTACGTATGGCTTGTTGATATTTTGTTAGTTTTAAGTGGTGAACTTGAGGATGAAGTATATAGTTTTCCTATTCAGCTTCACTCTCTTATTGAGTTAACCAAAATATTTAGTTAGCAACATGTAGCTTTAGTTACAAGTTTGGCAGATGGTATTCATTCGTCAATATTTTTTGTTCCGCCTCACAACAAAGTTGGGAAGCATAATAATGGTTAAAAAATGAGTGTTCGACTGATTTCAATGGTGGTTGTTCTAAAGGTTTCTGATTATCAGGTGTTGATGGTAGTATTTTTGGAAAGCTTCAATGCTAAAACTTCAAAAGGACGTTGTGAAGTTTTTCTGTAGACTGCCATAAAACTTGAGTTCCTGTTTCTTGAATGAGACTTACATGGGATGGAAATTTGGAAAGATTTTCGAATGCCAACAAGTTACATTACATGTAACAGTTATGTTAGGTTATGTTTGGTAAAACTAGCTGATAACTAATAACTTATAAGCTAGCTTATAGCTTATAAGTGATTTTCGAGCTTATAACTTATAACTTATGACTTATAGACGAAAAACTAGCTTATATGATAAAAATCTTTAGTAAAATTAGCTGATAAGCTAGCTGAAATAAAAATTTCGACGAACTTATTTGAAAAGCTATCTAAAGAAGCTTATGAGACAAGCTCGAGTCGTTCCACCAAACGAAACTTATTTGAATATAAAAAGTTTATAAGTTAACCAAATAAGCTGTAAGCTAACTTATTTGGTTATCGAACATAGCCTTAAAAGCTATGGTTTGCACATAAACATTCAAGAAGAATTGCCTAGAAGAAGAATCACTCCTTAATTTGCTTTGGTGATTCCATGGTCAGACTTTGCAGCCTTTTGAATCTTCCGATTTTTAGTGAGATTCATTCTCAAGCATCTGAACCTTTAAATTCCAGAGAGATTCAATCTTGACCATCCGTTTTAATTCAGATGTAGCACAATGTCAATGCAGTTCTCTTATTGTGTTCATTTATTTATAATACCAAATGACAAACAAGTACAATGATAGACAATAGAATCACCCATTTGTCACCCGTTGATTTATTTATAATGTTTTTACTTGTTCGTGATAACCAAATGGCAGGCTCGCGTGTGAAATATGGGCTGGAGCAATTTTGGGCTTCTACGAAATATGGGCCATCTGAACCAGACCATATGCTTTGTTCTTATTGGGTCAGTCCACTCGGTAAGGCTCAATTGTAATATCGTGTACTTGTTGTAGTGTTGTGAACCTGATTTGATGATGAAAAAATTATAATTCTACGGGTTCACGGAAAGAAGAAATGTGTAGTGTTTGTAGGATTTTTCACTATTTGCAGTATTTTTTGCTCAATGTCAATTGTAGCTTTTTGCAGTATATTTTATGGCACAAATTCTTCTTATAGCCTACCTAATAGTTAGTAAGTCGTACTTTTGTACCAAAAATGCACATTTATAATATGATATACCATACTTTTATTTATGTTATTTTTAAAATATGGTATTTAAGTATAAAAATATGTAAATTTGTTGAATACGTATGGCTGCTTAATAATAGTAATGTATTTTTTTTTAATTTTTTATTTTGTTTATGTTTGTATCGTATTTGCTAGAATATCAATTAATGGATTTCCGGTTGGAGCATATATATGCCTCGACTTAACCTACAATCTGACGGATTTATGTCATAAATTTTTTAATTCTTCTATTGAATCGAAACAAGAAAGTATATTAAAAAAGTAGATGGGATATCTAATGTAATTTTACTTCTATGTTCAAATAATTCGATGGGAATGTACGTATTAAATAATCATTATAATCAAAAGCTTAGCCGATGCACAAAAGAATTATTCGATTTAATGAGGAAAACACTTTTTAGTATATAAAAATATTGTGCACTCACCGGTAATATTGAAGACTTCAGACTACAATGCATATGCAAAAACAGAGGATCTAAACTAAAATAAAATTGTGGAATGTTAATCTCAATTGAGAAGACTTCAGACTACAATGCATATGCAAAAACAGACAATCTAAAATAAAATAAAATTGTTGAATGTTTAATCTCATTTGACAATATAGCCCATCTAAAGATTTTAGAAAAAATCTGAAACTTGATATTCATAATTCTAAACAAGAACTCTATTAAACTTATTCCAAATTTGGCGTGGTTGGCATTTGGCAAATATTAATTAAATTAACAATAACGACTATCAGATTGTTTTTAATAGTTAATTTTATTAACTATTTAATACATAATTAATTATTTAATATGTTAAAATTAGTTTTACAATCATTTATTCCCAAACATCAATTATTTTAAATCATCACTTACCAAACAATCAATTATTTAAAAATTTTGACCAGTCAAACCCCTAAGTCTCAAACCTTTAATATGCACCAACACACTAATACAAACAAGGCCTTTGATTACCAGTTGATATATTTTATTTTAAAGGGTAAATAAACAAAACACAAAACAACCCATATAGCCTTTTTGGTAATCACGTTTAATTTGTTTATTTAAAAAACAATGTCACAGAGAATAGAATTTAAAAAAACAATATGACAAAACACGAGATCACTAGAATCACGTTAATAATTATTTAATATAATTTTTTTTTTAAAAAACATATTATGGTAATACGTTTTAAAATTATATTTTTAAAATATTTTTTTTTAAATAATTGAAAAACGTATTTCAATAATACGTTTTATAAAAAAACTAATAAATAAAACGTATTTTGATAATACGTTTAATAGATAATTAGGAAAGTTTAATAAATAATTAATAAATAAAACGTATTATCAATAATACGTTTTATAAATAATTTATTTATAAAACGTATTATTGATAATACGTTTTATATTAAAATTAAAGAAAAAAACATTAATGTGTAGTATGTATTTTGTGTTTTGGGTTCGTTTGGGCTCGTTTGAACTCGGAATTGAGTTCCGTTTTTTCCTATACGTAGCTAACGAACCCCTCTATTCAATGATACTTGCATGACCAAATTATTCTTGAAATCATATTCTCCCAAAGCTCGCGACCGATACATTAAACGTGTTTCGCGCGACTTTTCTTTTTGTGCCTCGCTCTGTGTGACTGTGTACTCTGGGATGGGACGTAGTCCTCCTCGGATAGAACTTGACTGAACGACGCCCCTTGTGTGACCTCTTGGCCTCCAATAGTCAGAGAACTATAGGTACTCTCCCGGATGAGTGCACAGAAGATCAACATATTTGGATGTATAGGGGGTGGATCTTCTGTTGGAACATACGTGAAGTCCACTTGTCTGATAAGGTTCTCCGTCAGTTTGGGTGTCAACAGTTCATCCCCCAAAATCCGATGATTAGTGGTGAGCAAGAATGAGAGACACACCACAGAGGTCGTGGAATGACTGGGAGGGTATTTGGTGATCGGGCCGCCTTTCATTCACAGGTTACCAAGGGCTGAGTCGATGAAAGAGAACAAAATGTCGTCCAAGATGCCCTATGGATCACTTTCTACAGGCTGAGTAGGGTTACATTGATTGGTTTTACACTAGGACTGTAAGACTTATCAGTGACCCTACCAAGTACACGGTGGTCCAATAGGACGGCGACTATCAGACATTTGTCGAGCGGGAGAAGTGCGATGTAAGTGTTCATAATTTGTGGTTCTTTATTATTTCTTTTTTTCTTTTTTGGTGTTTCATACTAATTACTTTGAATTTTATTTTCAGACTCAAGCCTTGGAGGGGGTTTATAACTCGTTAGCGAATATTCAAGACATATTTCCTACACTCCCTCCATGGGCGCAGGCCGCATTCCAACAGTCCTACAACATTGTCTATTGTTATCTTACCAACAGTCCTACAACATTGCTTATAGTTCTCTTACTGTTGGAGGCCATGAGGTCACACAAGGGGCGTCGTTCAGTCAAGTTCTATCCGAGGAGGACTACGTCCCATCCTAGAGTACACAATCACGCAGGGCGAGGCATCAACTGCCAACATTGGTGGAGGTAGAAGACGCCGTCACTGCAAACGACAACAATGCCCGTTCAGACTCGTCTAAGCTCGAAATTGAGTTCCGTTTCTTCCTATATGTCACCAACGAACCCGTCTACACAACCATGATTGCCCGGTTCATTTTCGGGTTAAATCTATTCCTCACAGGGCTAAATAATTAACAAATCACCTATTAACAAATCCTCTGTGTACCATCTATTTATATAATGAGTGATTTGTTAATTATTTAGCCCATGAGGAATAGATTGAACCCGAACTGCCTATAGTTTTCTGACTGTTGGAGGCCAAGAGGTCACACTAAGAGCATCATTCAGTCAAGTTCTATCCGAGGAGGACTAAGTCTCATCCCAGAAAACACAGTCACAGAGGGCGAGACATCAACCCCCTGCCAACATTGGTGGAGGTAGAAGACGTCGTGACCACGAACGACAACAACGCCTGTTCGAAATTGAGTTCTATTTTTTCCTATACGTAGCTAACGAACCTCTCTATCCAATGATGCATGCATGACCAAATTATTCTTGAAATCATATTCTCCCAAAGCTCCTGACCTACACATTAAACGTGTTTCTCGCGACTTTGCCTTTTGGGCCCGTTCGGACTCGTCCAAGCTTGAAATTGATTTTCGCTTCTTCCTATATGTCGCCAACGAATCCATCTACACAACCATGGTTTATCGGTCAATTTTAGGGTTCTATTCCTCACGGGGTTAAATAATTAACAAATCACCTATTAACGAATCCTCCGTGGACCATCTATTTATATAATGGGTGATTTGTTAATTATTTAGCCCGTGAGGAATAGATTTAGCCCAAAAATTGACCGGGAAATCATGGTTGTGTAGATGGGTTCGTTGGCGACATATAGGAAGAAGCAGTAATGAATTTCGAGCTTGGACGAGTCTGAACGGACCCAAAAAACAAAGTCGCGCGAAACACGTTTAATGTATCGGTCAAGAGCTTTGAGAGAATATGATTTCAAGAATAATTTGGCCATGAAAGCATCATTGGATAGAGGGGTTCATTAGCTACATGTAGGAAAAAACGGAATTCAATTCCGAGTTCAGACGAGCCCAAACAAGCCCAAAACACAAAACACATACTATATATTAATTTTTTTATTCATTAATTTTGAAATATAAAACGTATTATCAAAATACGTTTTATAAATAATTAAGAAATAAAACGTATTTAAATAATACATTTTAATTTTTAATTATTTATTTAGTTCTTAATTTTTTGTAAAACGTATAACCAACACACGTTTTATTTATTAATTTTTTTTAAAACGTATTATGTGAATACGTTTTAGTGTAAAACGTATTTTGAAAATACATTTTTTAAATAAAAACGTATTCTCAAAATACGTGGTTTTGATTTTGTCCACATATGTTTAAATTTTTTAATTTTTGTCCACTTAATTTTTTTTAATTTTTAAATAGATAAATAAATCTCAAAGAATCGAGCACGCATTAATTTCTTCTCATAATTAGCATAAAAAGATTTGCGAAGTTTCAACTAATGATACTAACTGTTTCTATAGTCCTATAACAAATTTCGAACATTACTTAAAGCGAGTAATATATTATAATATCGCTTGAAAATTTTGTTGAACCATTTAACTTTATGCAATAAAAGTAGGTGAACACTTAATAAATAAAATATTACAAAAAATTCTTACCTTTAACATATGGTAATAATTCAACTAAAAGGTAAAAAAATAGTTTCACAAATAATAGAATTGAGTGACCATGGTGTCAAATTTTCTTTTAGTCTCAGCCTGATGATGTCATTATCAATATTTTTTATCCCAATACAAAGCCCCAAAAATATAAAAAAAAAAATGTAAAATTAATTACCCACATATATATATGTTCGATTAGGACTAATTAGTCACCTAGTTCAGATTAGGCAATGTTAAAAATTACGTATGTTTGAGTTTACTTAATTTCATATGGTTTTGGTTGGGGCCATCTCAACCATCTTGCAGGTGTTGATTTAATTTTTCTCTCAATTGTCTAAAAATCCAATTCATAGGTATGATATTCATCTAATGCCATTTATTTATCCCCTCAATATAAATAAATATATTTGGGTTACAACTAGAATGGGGTCTTCTTGTTATGCACTAGAGTTAATAGTGAAAATTGTATTAGTAGATTTGAATTGAAGTGTGGTCGATATTTAAATTGAGTGGTTAAAAATAAAAATTGGCCGAAGAATAACATTCATCAGTATAAGATTAATATATGATATTCGAATAAAATTCTCCTTATTATAAAATATTTCGAAATTAGATTTTCAGATAAAAAATGGATTAAAACCGCTAGTTGCAAGTCAATATAATTTGGTACTAAATTTTGCTATAATATCATATCTTAATTTTAAAGTAATGAATTATTTGATGCATAAAATTCCACACATAACAACTAAACGCAAGTTTCTACACCTAC